CGGCGTTGCCCGTGCTTGATTCAAATATCGTACGACTCATACAGCAATCGCTATCACTTGACTTAAAATATTTTTGCCCTTCCTTGCCTTTAAAGGAGTGCCCTTTTCCCTGCTGATGTTGCTACATGCCTTACTTCTTGCCTATCCCATACTGCGAATCTTTTCTAAGCTCTATACTAAATATTAAATCTGTTAGGAAAAAAGAACTAAACAAAATGAACACAAAACGATCAGCTTTAAAAAAGGACTCGTACCAGGAAAAACCGAATGAAAAAAGAATGTTAACAACAAATACTTTTTCACAACCAACTCAGTTCTGTGGAATCGGAATCAACGTTGAGTTTAAACAAGCGAATGAGCCAATTGGAGTAAAGTGCCATGCAGATTTAAATTTTTCCTACTTGTGACGAATGCAACTATCGATTTTTTTTGCATGCTAGTTAGCATTCGTGTCAGTCAGCTGTTGGCTCTCACGCTGGCCAATAGAATCTTCCTGCCTATCCGTGGCAGCCAGCTATTGGTTCTCACTCTGGTCAGTAGAAAATGGCCGCAAACTACATGAAAACTGCCGTAGAAGCATGAAAATTTGATTATTTCCACTATCGATGGGAGTTGGGAAATGCAAAGTCGGTCTTGGCCTACCCGCTAACTTGGAGCATGTGCATGTAAATTTTGGTGCAAATCCGTGGAAAATTGCGGCCGTGCATTCGTTACACACACACACACACACACACACACACACACACACACACACACACACACACACACACACATCCTGCCTTTTATAGATAGAAATCCAAGCATTAGAGCATCTTTGTTTATATATATATATATATATATATATATATATATATATATATATGTTTAAAATCTAGGTAAGTAATCCAAGTGAATTCTAGTATTTAATGCCCCATATAATATATGGCCAGAACAGGCTTGTCAACACTAAGGAGTTATATATATATATATATATATATATATATATATATATATATATATATATATATATATATATAAAATTATATATATAAACTTTAAATATAAACTTTTAATATATATATATATATATATATATATATATATATATATAAATTCATGAATCATTCATACAAAAAAAACAAATATAGAGGTTAATGATTTAAATGGCGAGAATACATCGTCGCAAACACATAAATAAGACACACCAATCCCGAACCTGTATATGAATGATATGGTCCCTGTTTATAAATTCCAGTTGCATAAAGTCTTTTTAATTTTTTACAAGCTTTCGTCTGTTCCTACAGACATCATCAGGTATGGAAGTAGATTATAATATTTGTTTTTTGTATGAATGATTCATGAATTTATAAATTATATTTGCACCTTTTAATTGAAACTAAAATAACTGATCCAACGTGCAACTCTCGGATAATAAGTGTGACATTACTGTAATTATTGAACAATATAGTCCATCCATATTCACGGAAAATCTACCAGTAAAAAAGAATTCTCTTATTGCTATATTTCTACCAAAACGCACAACCTTAAAATTTAAATTCAAACTCAGCGTTGCGACCGCACGTTCCAAAACAATATTTCTCAGAGTATTTTTTTTCGGATTGCATCTCTATTTTCGTTGTCCTCTTATTATATTATATATATATATATATATATATATATATATATATATATATATATAATCGCGGCCTGAAGATTGCGTCTAGCATGAAACAGCCTGTCGCTTCTGAGTGCTGACTTCAAAGTTCAATTTATATTTACTTACGCTCTTTTTCATTGACAGTCGACCCTTACACGTTAGTGGCACGTTAGGTGAATTGACTATATATATATATATATATATATATATATATATATAAAGAAATATAGTTTTAAGGTGTGCTATATTTATGGGATAAAGTGCTCAATATCAGAGAGAGAGAAGGAGAGAGAGGGAGAGAGAGAGAAAGACAGAGAGAGTACCTAAGGTCCTCTTGTATAGCCAGCTTGACAGTGGACAAAGGATTGTTGGATGGCTGTTGCCCAGGTATAAAGAAAAGCTGACGAGTAAGCTCTCAGCTGTCAACGTACCTCATACAAACTCCGAGAGAGTTGCCATGGATTAAAAAAAAAATGGAGATATTTGTCTTTTCAGAAAGTTCAAAATCAGTCGTACTGACCGGCTAAGAGACGAGAGAAATAGCGTAAAGCCTCAGCAAATAACCCTGTTGCTATGTCCTGAAATCCTCGCTGTTACACAATAATGAGGACTTGTATGTAGCGGGACTGAAGTGTCACATAACGACAAAAACATATAAACTAAATGAGATTGTCGAATCCTCACACGTCGAAATCGACAGGAGTGCCCATTATATATATATATATATATATATATATATATAATTATTTATTTAAAAATATGATTCCAACGCTACATAAGAGTTTTCATGTTTCAAAACAAGAGCTAGAAACTTCAATATAATTATTTGAATTAAATTGAATTAAAGTACTAAGCTCTGTTCCATCTTCAAGCGAAATTTTTTTGGAATAACTTATTCCTGGAATTTACGCGTTTTATAAGCATATTCATTATTGAAATTAAGATTACTATGGTAACGGCTAGAGCAATTGTTTAAAGAAGAGATTTTTACACACACACACACATACATATATATATATATATATATATATATATAGGTATAAGGTTAGTAAAAATTAAATAACTTGATATTAACAACCGTATACACGCGTGCTGGCGTGTACACGTTGGTAAGCAAATAAATAATTACCAAATTTAGCCAAGAGGTGTAGACACAATAGTGCTCGATGTGGTTATACAGAGCTAAGAATTATATATTAATAAATACACATATACCGACGCTTGTGCCTGACAAGCTTGGTAACCAACGAAATTTTATATTACTAAGATCCACTTGGATTATATACCAACGGATATGTTAGCTTTACTATTTATATATATATATATATATATATATATATATATATATATATAATTCAGTATAGGTTTATATATAGCTAGATATAATATAGATGTCTAGTCACACAATTGAAACAGTCTGTCTGTGGATGATGTTTATCACACTGAAATATATATGTATGTGGATGATTATATATATATATATATAGTACAAAAATAGTACAAAAGCAATACTAGTGTTTTAGTGGTGGAAATGACGTGCAGGTATGAGTGAATAAGAAAAAGAATTGAAGCACATATAAAATTTAAAATTTGAACGGGTTGGGTGGGGTGTGGGACGCAGCTCTAAATTGGCCAAGGTAGTTAACCGGTACAAGCTCTAAAATGAAAGCGAACATAAAAACTAAATTTAAACGAAAAGTAAATTATCCAGGATTAAAATATTTTAAGAAACACACATACTCTCTCTCTCTCTCTCTCTCTCTCTCTCTTTCTCTCTCACATGCACATGCACATACATACACACACACACACATATATATATATATATATATATATATATATATAGTATATCTATATATATATTAAACATATACAAAACACTTTTATAAAAGTGCTCAATACTAAAGTAGCACGCCATTATATTTTATGCAGCAAGACCTGTGTGCAATTGACCGGCCACGACTACGAGTTTCTTAAGTGCTATTGCGCGCAGCCCTCACACACACACACACCCCCATATATATATATATATATATATATATATATATATATATATATAATTCAGTTCGGTTCATCTTGTACAAGGTCCGGGAGCCACTCGAGCTAGGTGATTACATTAAGAGACAGTTAATGCTGATAGGTGAGGGAAATAACGTTAACACTAGATTTGGGAGAGACGACAAAAAGACAATGTTTGCCATCAGCTACAAAGGGCAAAAAATTGTGGAAAACCAAGATCACCAACGCCCTGAATGGACACGGCAAATAAAATTTTTCAAGAGGAGCATTTTCATTATCATTAATTTGTTTACTATTTTTCTTTCATCTTATTTCTGTTGCCTTATATATCAACGCCCAGGTCGTCTTTTTGTTCTGCGGACGTAGCAGAGGCAGAATCAGAAAATAAACATATATATATATATATATATATATATGAAGAAATCTACTCTTCATGTGTGCTATATTTATGGGATGAAGTGCTCAATATCAAAGATAGAGTGTGTGTAAATATAAAAGTGAACATTGAAGTCAACACTTAGAGGCGACAGTCTGATTCATGCCAGACGCAATCGTCAAGCCTGACGATTGTGTCTGTCGCCTCTGATTTCAAAGTTCACTTTTACATACATATATATATATATATATATATATATATATATATATATATCTGTGGTATATTTTCACTCCATTTCAACCTAGTCCCTGTTCTCTTCTCTCGTCCTACACATGGTCTGCAATACCTGATTTTACGCAAATGGCTTTCTGTTGGTCATGAAGTCTTATTAAGGAGACAACAGACTTCCATGACTGACTGCTTGTATTTATCGATTTATTTTTTTACGGCTTATCAACCTTTTAAAGATTATTTAAAGCTAAAAACGTTTTTAGAATGTAAGATTTTTTCAAGCTAATAATGATTTTATGATACAGGTCTTACTAATTAACCCATAGTATGGGGAGAAGAGATGGATTCATACCTTTCCCAAAGGTTATTTATGCTTAAGTTAATATAACGAACCCAACTGGAATTGGAACTCGGATCCCCGATTTCCAACACCGAGCCGTTATCTATTGCACCATTGTTTCTCAAGCATTTTAAACAACGGCACACCTAAGAGCAAATGCAAATAACACACCACACTCAAGAAAAATTTTAAGGGGTATACATTTAAATGTTATGAAATAAAACCATAGACAAAAGTATGAACTTTCTTTATTTCAGTGTCATTATTCAGCTATTTTTGCATCTTGTTTTAGTGTAAAACGTGTGCCTGATTTTTTTTTGGGGGGGGGCGAATTCTTCCAATGTTTCGCGGCAACTTTATGAGAATCGCGCGGCACACTGAGAATCAGCACACACAAGCTTACAGCACTTGGTATTCCCAAGAGGTCACCCATCTAGGTACTGACCAGGCATAACGTTGCTTAAGTTCGCTGATCGTATGAGTCGTTGTTTCAACGTGATATGGTCGTATGACATACTACCTGCACATCCAAGCTTACAGCACCTGGTATTCTTAACAGGTCACCCATTTTGGTATTGACCAGCCTCGGCGTTGCTTAAGTTCGTCGAACGTATGAGAGTCGTTGTTTCAACGTGATATGGTCGTATGATATACTAACTGCACATCCAAGCTTACAGCACCTGATATACCTAAGAGGTTACCCATCTAGATACTGACCAGGCTAAATATTGCTTAAGTTCGCCGATCGTACGAGAGTCGTTGTTTCAACGTGATATCGTCGTATGATATACTAACTGCACATCCAAGATTACAGCACCTGCCATTCCTAAGAGGTTACCCATCTAGATACTGGCCAGGCTAAACGTTGCTTAAGTTTGTCGAATGTATGAGAGTCGTTGTTTCAACGTGATATCGTCATAAGACATACTACCTGCACATCCAAATGTACAGCTCCTGGTATTCTCAAGAGGTCACCCATCTAGGTATTGACCAGGCTAAACGTTGCTTAAGTTCGTCGAACGTATGAGAGTCGTTGTTTCAACGTGATATCGTCATAAGACATACTACCTGCACATCCAAATTTACAGCTCCTGGTATTCTCAAGAGGTCACCCATCTAGGTATTGACCAGGCTAAACGTTGCTTAAGTTCGTCGAACGTATGAGAGTCGTTGTTTCAACGTGATATCGTCATAAGACATACTACCTGCACATCCAAATTTACAGCTCCTGGTATTCTCAAGAGGTCACCCATCTAGGTATTGACCAGGCTAAACGTTGCTTAAGTTCGTCGAACGTATGAGAGTCGTTGTTTCAACGTGATATCGTCATAAGACATACTACCTGCACATCCAAATTTACAGCTCCTGGTATTCTCAAGAGGTCACCCATCTCGGTACTGACCAGGCTCGACGTTGGTTACCTTCGGTGATCGTGCAAGGACCAATGTTTCAACATGATATGGCCGACTCTTGGAACGTAGCATCTGGTCCATTCTAAGATATGAAGTCTCATTTATAATTTTCTAAGGTGGAGTAATGGCTATCGGCTCGGATTAAGGAATCAGAGAGCAGAGTTCGAGTTCCAGGTGGATCCATTACATTCACTTACGTGCTAATACCCTTGAGGAAGTTATGGATCCTCTACTTCACTGGGTAAATTGCAGGACAGATTGGGGCTCTATAACCTTGGCTAGCAACTGGTCTAGAAATTCAAAACCGGCTTAGAGAGGGTTGATCTCAGTCAGTTCATCTTGCCCAAGAAACGCCACTCATAGTGCCCGGGTCACGGAATGAAAAAACAAAAAACAAAAAAACAAAACACTGGATTTAGCGTGAGGCTGATGAGCATATCAGCTAAAATATTGTAATAAAAAGTAAAAAAGTTGGAAGTTGAAGTCTGATATAAAAAAAATGAGCAGTAAAATGAAAATAGTTCATCCAAGGACTTCAGAAAAAAAAACATTGGAATTCCTTTTATAATTTTTGTAACAATTGTTATTTTAACAGGTAAACAGCACAATTTACGGTATGTAATTAAGTGGGCTGAGAATAGACAGATCTGTCTTTAATCTCTGCACACACGGCAAAACACCTGTTATGTCAAAAGAAACACTGAAATTACGAGAGAAAGACAGACAGAGAAACAAAACGGTTATCGTTTTTTATGTCAAAATTTACGGATTAAGAGGTTTTTTTTTTAATTGTTATGGCGGCAGGGTGACCTGAACTTTTTCCTACGCCTTGCATGTCTATTTCAATCAATGACGTGGTTTCGACATATTTGTACAATTTCTGGTGGCTGGCCAATCCTGCTCAGATGGCCGTTTAATATTTTAAAGGCACAGATCAGAAGTTAGAGCATCAGACTGAAGGCTAGAAAGTGTGAAACTCTAAATCAACGTTTCTCAAAACATTGACACTTTCTGCATTTAATATGTTGTAAACGTTTTTATCAATTGAGATGTTGGAGCTAGATCAGGTGAGGCGGGTAACACCTCAAAGGCTCTGATCATCTCGATTTGGGGATTGTATATAAATTACAGAACAAGACGACCGGAAATTACAGTAATTCCCCATGTATAATACGCATTTTTTTCTAAAAAAAATAATAAGCAAAATTAGGGGTGCGTATTATGTACACCTACAAAAAATCTTTAAAAATTTGCCGTTTCATAGGTCGATTTTAGTTGCGAAATGACTACTCACCACAAACATATGACAATTTGACACTAACATTCGGCGATTGTGACCCCATAAGGATGTCAAATACAATCATATGTACCTAAAAATGTTTATAAATATAAAATAAAATAAGAATTATCATAAAACTAAATTAGAATAATATTACTCTAGGTTAAAACCATTTTTTGTGAAAAACTACGTACAGGTCAGGTACCGAACAAAACAAAACAAGTTTAATGAGTCTGCGCAGTAGGCACAATATAGGTATTTCCGTTTCCTTTTAGAATCGTGATGATCGGAAATTTTGATAAATATCTTCAGTTACAGCTTGAATAAGATTCGGAAACGCTGGCCGTAATGAAATTAGAGACGTACAATTTATAGGGTTTGATTACCAAACAACGGGTGCGTATTATACGTGTGTAGAAGCATTTCCCCAAGCTTTCAGTACAATATATGAGGTGCGTATTATGGATGAAAGCGTATTATAGATGGGGAATTACGGTAGTACAGTGTAACCCGGATATAAGAGAGTTGTCGGGACCGGAGAAGAAGTCTCTTATATCCGGGTTTCTCTTATATCCGGGTTTGGTCTATTTTATATACATTAACACAGGCTCTAATTTGGGACCAGAGAAAATCTCTCTTATATCCGGGTTTCTCTTATATCCGGGTCTCTTATATCCGGATTACACTGTAATATGAACATGAGTCATCAACTGTAGCAGAAAACGATGAAGCTACTATTTTCTGGGACATACTTATGCGTGGACATAAAGGAATAATAATAATAATAATAATAATAATAATAATAAATGTGGCATATGGGAACATCAACAATCCCTGTTGTAGTTGGAGCCCTAGGACTGGTTGGAAAAGATTGCAGTAGACTAATTGAAGGGATTCCTGGAAGTCCATGCCTCAAGGACATACAAAAAAATTGTTCTGACAAGTACAGCCCACACCTTACGAAGGGCTTTATCTATGTAATTTAATTTTTTTTTTTTTTTTTGTCAGTGGAAAGTGTCATGATGCCATTTCTAACCTTAGGTCCCTGGGCGGGACCCGGAAAGAAATGTGTAAACGCCAGAAATCAAAGAAAATAAAAATGATAAGAATAATAATTATAATTATAACAATTATAATAATAATAATAATAATAATAATAATAATAATAATAATAATAATAATAATAATAATAATTATAATTATAATAATAATAATAATATTTATAATAATAATAATAATAATAGCAACAAGATGAGTCCTCAAATATAAGAGGAAACGATGAAGTTACCATTCTCTGAGACATACCAATCTTAATAGATAAAGATATAAATAATATAGATAAATGCGGAATTACGGTAATTTTAACCCATGACAACATTTTTAGACTTTTCGTTCTCCATCGGGACGTGGGGGGGTGATTGTGAGTTGCCATTGGTCGCGGACCGACTGAAATTACCCTTCGAATTTAGACATCTACTCTTCACCCACTATTCCTTTCTGTATTAATTAGCCTTGTTCTTATATTGCCAGACAGTCAATTTAAGTGTCATACGTGATACACGCTTGGGCGATTATGTCTCGTTCGCTTCATGACCGACAAAGCAGAAGATTTTCTCGCAGTAGGTAAGGCTCCCTAGCAATGTCGAAAAGAAAGTATAATTTTATTTTAACCTATCCTTTCCAAGTAGTTCGTTTCCTTCGGTGGGTTGCATAGACTGTAACCACTCGGATGAAACGATGTTCTTTTTTTTTTTTTTACTCTTATGTTCACCCAATACAAGGCCCAAGAGGCACTCATGGTACATGATTAATGAAAAATGCTGTATGAACGCAAGAACAAGAGATAAAAAAAATGCAATTTATGAGGTGACGTAGAGGCGATAATCCTCGACGAATGCCAGACAATTTTTCTCGCCAGCATCTGGCATATTTATAAGTTTATAATCAAGTTTGGTTTTCCTGTCATCTATTTAGAGAATCTAGATGAAATACAAAGAAGAATTTGCAATGTTATTGGTCCTGACCTGGCATCTCGACATTAGTCAATTTCCCATCACCATAAAGTATATTCCCTGTGCATATTTTTTAGAATATGTTCATGTTAATTGTTCTGATGAAATTTTCTCTTTGGAACATAAACTATGAATCTAAGCGCAGTACTAGATTGGCGGCTAGGTCTCATTATTTTACAGTTGCTATGGCTAGATGTAACCGTAAGTTTTATACTAACAGATTCTTCTATGGCACTTTTCGCTTGAGGAACTCGCTTCTTGCTTTTCAGCCGACTTTGATCTTCAAAAATGTAAATACAATGTCAAGCATTATCTTTTGTCTTCTTAATTCCTCTTCTTTTATTATCCTTTCCCCTCACTAAAGTCTTCTAATTCTCTTTAACTCTTTGTACTTTCCAGTCAAATTTGATCTTCAAAAATTTCAATGCAATGTCAATCGTTATCTTCTGTCTTCTTAATTCCTCTTCTTTTATTGTCCTTTCCCCTCACTAAAGTCTTCTAATTCTCTTTCACTCTTCTTACTTTCCAGTCAACTTTGATCTTCAAAAATTTCAATTCAATGTCAATCGTTATCTTCTGTCTTCTTAATTCCTTTTCTTTTATTGTTCTCCCTCCTTAATAATGTTTTTTTTCTCATATTCTTCGTACTTTTCCAGTCAAATTTGATCTTTAAAAAATTTCAATGCAATGTCAATCGTTATCTTCTTCATTTAATTGCTCTTCTTGAAATGATTTCAAAAAAGACTTCTAATTCAAAGATTTTGGTGAATTTATGACTGGATGAAACCAAACTTTCCTGCTGCAATTCAGCGACCATTTTTGATCACAATCAATTAGACAAGGACGACAAGGTACCTCTTCAGAGTTAAATAATCACAACATGGCGGTGGAGTAGTCTTCATTATGCGAAACATGTAATGGAGTCCTTAATGGAGACCTTTTCTTTCAGCAATGTCTACGGACAGTCAAAAGGTGGTTTGGTAGATTTAATCTCTTCTTTGATTGTCCTTTAACAAACTAAAGTGTTCTAATTCTGCCGACTCTTCCGATATCGATAAAAATTCCCTGGTTGCCATCGTGGATACAAAACCGAGGATTTCGACGGAAGCGATTGTTATGGGTTTGAAGATCGATATTTCGACATTTGAAGAGACATGTGTCGACCCGTGGGTGCCACATTCTCTGAAGGAACAGAACGAATTCAGTCGTGTTTCTTTACTGTTACGAAAAGGAAACTGTTCTTGGACAGAATTGTCACAGGCGATGAATAATCGTGGCCAGACATTTGACCGAGAGACATTTGCTCGAGAGACATTTGGTCGAGAGACCTTTGGCCGAAGAGACATTTGGCCGACGGACAACCGAAAAAGTACAAGTCAAAATAGTAACAAGCAATACTTTAAGTATTTTAATTAGCAGTATTATAAGGTAGAATAGGACTAATAATTATTACTGAATTTCAAATTACTAAGCCTAAAGTTAAAAGTTTTCTTATTTCAATATTTGTTTATTGAAAATAGTATTTTTTAAAATATTTGAGTATATTTGGGTAAAAAATAGCACCTAATTATTTAAATTCGTATTTAGCAGTAAGATAAAAGCTAGTTCATCCCTTTAAGATAATGATCATTAAAAGCGAAATTAAAAGATCTTTCATATCGTAAACGTTTAAGATTTTTGCTGTGGTAAGATGTGCTTTTTCTCAAAATACTTATCATCTTACAGTAATATTTGAAGTAAAATATAATATATACAGAATAGATT